GACCTATAACCTGAACAAGAGCTTTCCTGTGTTCAGAATGCAGAAATGTGACTTTTGCTGAAGATTACATCATCGTGTGGGAAGGCAAGAGAATAAAAGAACTGAAGATCAAAGTCCTTTATGGAGGAATGTGTCTAGAAGGTATTTTTTTATATTTCTCTTAGTCCAGTTATTCTTTTTTACGATACTTGTTTTTTTCAGCCAATGAAAGATTACCCGTGTGATTTGGAATCAGCTGTCAGAGCTGTTGTTTTTTACACTGGCTCTGAAGCAACCTTGCCTTTGGTTCATAAAAATCACACCCAAAATCTATTCAACTTGAAAGTATCCATCTTTGAAAAGAGCATTTAATGGAAAGCGTGTTAAAAACATACGTAATATTGCTTGGATGCCTAAAGTTTTTACGATTGGCTTAATTTTGAGGCACGAACCCAGGGATGCTTGTTGAAGAAACCATAGTTAAAACAAGCCATATCCGCCTGTGATACAGTAACCCAGCGAAGGCTTCTCAAATGGGTTGGATAAAAGCGCCAACCTAGTGGTGTCTCTTTTTTTTTACCTTGGTGCGTTTTACATTTATCTTTGCCAGAGACGATAACGCAGAAGTTCACTGTCACCTTTGTGACCGCCAACGCTACAAGCCTGGAAGAATTCTCAGGAAACCCAGGTGGGTGAAGCGGCTTTTCAGTGCAGAAGACCCTTACTAGCATATTGATGCTTCAGTTTGTTTTTGTTTGTGTCATTTGTTGGGTAAGGGGTGGCATTTGGGGGCTGGGCTCTGCAGCTGGCCCTTGATGGTTTGGGTGGCACCCAGAGAAGCCCACCTCCTCCATTGACAACCAGCCAAGAGTTTCTTGGAGGAAAAGGGTGTGGATTGCTCACTAGCTTGACCTATTGTAGAACTTGGAGTAGAAATACCTTCTTCTTGTTGACAATGGAGGAGGGGGGTTGAGTTGGGAAAAGCTCAAGCAAAGCGAGAAACAAATTGGGAGACCTTTCAGCCTTAATAAATCTCCACTGTTTAGTGACTACAGGCAATCCTCAACTTAACGACCATAATTGAGCCCGACATTTACGTTGTGAAGTGAGACATTGGTTAAGGGAGTTTTGCCCCATTTTACGACTTTTCTTTGCCACAGCGATGAAGTGAATCGCTGCAGTTGTTAAGGTAGTAACCCCGTTGTTAAGTGAATCCATCTTCCCCATTGACTTTGCATGTCAGAAAGTCATAAAAGGAGATCACGTGATCCCTGGGACACCGCAACCGTCATAAATAGGAGTCAGTTGCCAACCTTCTGAATTTTGATCACATGACCACAGGGAGGCTGCCATGGTCATAAATGTGAAAAACGATCATAAGTCGCTTTTGTCAGTGCTGTTGAAACTTTGAATGGTCACTGAATGAACTGTTGTAAGTCAAGGACTAGCTGTATACTGCTGACCCAGTTCTACGGCTCCCAGGGACGGTGTACATAAAATTTGGCATTTGAGAGACTGTTAGCTCTAGCCAGACCAATCCTTCTCCTTCTGCAAGATTGCTTAACTGGATATATTTGAAGCCACCGGCAAAATCTTCTTTTGTCTACCCAGGTTATCAGCTTGGCAAGCCGGTTAGAGCCGCAAACCTGACATCGTTGGCTCCTGTCACCACTCTAAATCTTTGGAAGCCCGGTAGTCCTTTTTGATAACAAATATTACGCAATTTCAAGAGGAACAAAACCACATCCATTTATCAGTGTGACGTTCATTTGGGGCTTCTTCGCTCGTATTTCTGTGGAGGAGGGGTAAAAGTGATTGTAGTTGTATTCTGCTAAATTAAACTTGGGCATTTATTCTGTTGCTATCCTTAGGAACAAGAACAATTACGAATATTATTTTGTAGGCAAAGCAATATCGAGTCTAATTTTAAAAACCTTTCCTAAAAGAGTCCTAATTTGCAAGTAAAGCTGTACTCTTGGGGCAGCTTAGCCCCTTCAGTTTGACTTGTTTGATGTCTTAAGAAGGGGGAAATTCCACTCCTGAGGGCTTTCTGTTTAAATACATTAATAGGACTACATGACTGAGAAAACAATTTCTGAACCAGATTATCTCCATTATTTAGTTGGTGAGAACTTGTGTTCATCAGCAAACCTGACCCCCCTTTTGTTTGGATTCAATTCCATTTCTGGATGCCTGATGGAGGTCAGTCTTGCAGACAACTGCCGGCAGTTGAGGTGAGATTAAATTAGTTTCTTATTCTTCATTTTAAAACAAGGAAGAAAATCTCATTTTACACTGAAATAAAGGAAATTTAAGAAATCCACACTGATTTATGAAACCTGGCATTTTTCCTTTGAAATATGAAAACATTAATTATCTACCACTCCCATTTATATTGCATGCCTCTTTCTTCGCAGAGAGGATGTTGCTGCAAGGCTTAATTCCTTGGTGCAAGCGAGCCACGTTGGAAAAAGAGGCAACGCCCGTAAAGAGATCTCAGATGACTGGGTGGAAGTCCTCCGTGAGTAACACAGTTTAGTAGCAACCAGTTAATTGCCGATGTTTAGTTTGTGTTTAAAAGCATTAACGATCCTCTTACATTTCTTTTATTACGAAAAGCCATAATCTAGCTAACAGGAGAACCGCAGCCATTAAAAAATAATTGGACTTCTAAATTAATTTAAAGTTGGATGTGGATATTGTAAATCACTCGAACTATTTTTGGGAAAGTGAAGCAAGTGAAGCCATCCTGTCTTCACAAAACTCTTTGTTTATATTTTCTCTTTTAACGTTGAAAGAAAAGGATAAGTGGCTAAGCAGCTGGTTGGTTAACCTTCTCAGCCCACTGGCTTTTACTGTTCCCAGGTGTAAATGCCTCTTCCAGCCCAAACGCAAGCGACGGGAGCTTAAGAGGGATCTGTCCTGATGTTCCTGCCCACCTGAACATTCAGATCATAACCGCTGATGTAGGCGCGATAGAAGGAATCCCTCAAGAAGAGATACTTGGTGTGCAAATCGGGTATGTACAATCTTATTTTCATTTGCTGACTCGGATCTCTTCGGGGTCCTCTGGTGAAAACATTTATCTTGCTACAGAGACTTCTAATTTCTTTCTGATTGAAACATGGTGATGATGATATGATCCGTTCAGTTGGGTCCAACTCTTTGTGATTCTATGGGCTGGGCCTCTCCACGTCTTCTTATCTTGCACGAATTTGAGTTGTTCTATGCTCTGGCTGGTGTCAGCTTTGATGGTGTCCCACCACACCGTATCCTTTGACGGCCTGGTTTCCTTTTACCGCTAACTCTTCCCAACATAATTGCTTTCTCCAGTCAATTCTCCCCCCTCCCCCCGCGCATGACTTGGCCCAAATTAATGAGGCACGTTTTTTGTGATTTTGGGATTGAAACAAAATGAATCCCCAAACTGCTTGACCTGTTGCAATCAGAAGGTGTGTTCCATCCCAAGGATGAAAAATAAAAAATCTCACTGAATTCTGACACGGGCCCATATCATACAGATTGTTCTTTATTTTTGCTGTTATTCAGGATGCCTGCTAGAAGCAGTGCTGCACTAATGAGCACTGACATTTCCCCCCTGTCCGTTAGGAATTAAGAGTTGTCCTCTTTTGTAATGCTACTAGGCTAAAAAAAAAAAATGGCTCTTCTTACTTTAGAATGTTGACGACAATCAGATAGGTGACACTGCATGGCCTTCTACATTGTAGCTGCAGTTCCCATGTACAGGAAAGGCTTCTCTCTTTCAGTTTTTCCACCATAACTTGGCAAGTTCCTTGTGGCCTGGCTTGTCCGGAGAACGCGAGTTCCCTTCCCGTCTCTGCTGCAGTGCAGTTTATTAAAGTACCTGCTCAGCCCCCAGTGCCAAAGACAAGGTAAAACTAGGATGCAGACTTGTAAATCTGCTCCAGAGAAACTGCTAGGGAAACTGAGTCATGCAACCGCCATTTGCGACCTTCCCAGCAGTCTCTGACAAACAAGGGGGGGGAGCCAGATCCACCTAACCGCAGCAATGATTCCCATAACTATGGCAAAACAGGTTGTAAAATCAGCTGCAACTCACTTTAACACCTATTATTTTTCTTTCCAGATTTCAAATTAACTACACGGAGTACGACTGCAGGAGAAACGACGTCTGCTGGTCTGAGCTTTTTTATCCCATGACACGCTACTATACCGGTAAAAAAAAAAAAAAAGGGACTCTCAATTGGCCTTTCTCTTGTTTAATTTCTAGCTGACCCCCAAGTCCTTGGGTGGGTAGGTGGGTGTCTCAGTAGGGAGATGTATTTATTGGAAGAATTTCCTTTTATGTCAGAATACATTTCCAGACACGGCCTGAGCACTACATGTAGCATATTATTAGGCGATTCCAGTTTTGTAAATCTTTTATGCTGGGGAGAGACTCGTCTCTGGCAGAGGATGGCTCAGATGCCCTCCTTCTAGCAGAAGCTTGTCTGGATTATCTTCCACTGAAATGCCAATTCTGGAGCAATTTCTTCCAAGATATAAGGCACCATCCGTTTCTAAACCTTTATCTCCAACCTCTTTTCAGGAGAGCCCTATTCTCACACCCTTGCCAAAGGCCTGGTGTTGGTTTTCTTCGTCCTCCTTGCAGTGGTGCTGAGCAATCCTTGCAATGGGATCCTCCGTCTGTGGAACAAGCCCTGAAAACCTCCACTTCCCCCACAGAATTTTGATCATGCTTTTCTACATTTTTTTTTTTTTATTATCATGCACAGGTTTTATGGAAAGAGATAGAAAACAATGGGCGTTTTCCCCTGATATATTTCCCCCCCAAAAAATAGAGGGGGGGGAAGTGAGAGGAAAAAAAATAAAAATAAAAACCCACCTGGACAAAACTGAGACCGTGTTGTGATTGTACAGGAAAAAAAAAGAGCAATAAGAGAGATGTGATTTGGATCCTACGGCTGTACTGGGTGCCCAATCTTGGCAAATTAAAAGACTTGTGGACTTCAACTCCCAGAATTCCCCAGCCAGAATTCTGGGAGTTGAAGCCCACAAGAAAGTGGGACGCCCTTGCATTAAAATAATAATAATAACGGTAAAAGTGTAATAAACGAGGTGGGCGCCATGCCGCCGAATCCAGGGGGCGCTGCAGCTCCTTAGTAACTTCCCTTCTCTGGGCTGTTAATTGCCGCTCTGTACCAGCACTTCCGTTTCAGCGTAAACTCGTCTCCTCCAGAGTTGGCATTACCACCGAGAAGCCGAGAGGGAGACGGAGCGGTCTCTTCCACGCATAATGGCGCAGCTGCGGGCGGAAAGCCGGAAGCCGCTCCCGCCTTCCGTCTTCTGAAGGGGCGTGGCCAGCGACTGAGGTGAAGCGCCGGTTTCCGCCCCGCCTCCGCCTCTCCATGGCGGCCGGGCGGCGTCGAGGGCTGCGGTGAGCGCCCGGATGGGCTCCCTCTTCCGAAGCGAGGCCATGTGCCTGGCGCAGCTCTTCCTGCAGGCCGGCTCGGCCTACGAGTGCCTCAGCGCCCTGGGCGAGCGCGGCCTGGCCCACTTCAGAGACGTGAGTGGCCGCCGGGGGAGAAGGCCGAGACGCCCCGGCCTCGGGTTTTTATTTGTTTCCGTCCCGCCCTTTTATTGTATGGGGAAACATATCTCGTGCTCCTCCCTCTTTTCCTCACAACAACAACCCTGTGAGGTGGGTCGGGCTGAGAGAGAAGGACTGGCCCAAAGTCACCCAGCTGGTCTTCGTGGCTTCTTACCTAGGGAGACCAAGGCAGCCCCAAACCAGAGGGCTCGTGCCATGGAGAAGAGAGAATAGAATAGAATAAGGAATAGAACAGAGAATAGAATATAGAATATAATAGAATATAAAACAGGAAATAGAATAGAAAATAGAATAGGGAACAGGAAATTAGAATAGAATAATAACTTTATTGTCACTTTACATGTACACTGTTCAGCATACATTAAAATGAGATTTCGTTGCACGCAGCTCTCAAAGGGTAACCACCTCCAATATACACTGCATAAACATGACAATAAATAATATACCCACATGTGCAGCGATGAGTGTTTTTTGGGGGTACAGAGGGCTGTACAGAGGGGGTCCCTTGCAGACTCCCTCATCTTCTCTTGGAGGTGCCCAATGTCCCTGGGCAATACCCTTTCCCACAAATAAATGGGGAATAATTAGTGCCACTCCAGAAACCTAGTCCTGGATTGCAGTTTTATGTATTAATGTATATATTTATTTATATTCCACCTTTATTATTTTGACAAATGACTCAAGGTGGCAGGCATATCCCAAATGGCTTCCTCCGCCTATTTTTTATATATAAGGTATATAAGAATATAGCATTTATTATTTTAGTGCTTTAACGGGTTATATTATTTTTAGCCTGCTATCAGCCGAAGGTCAGATGAGTAGCATACAGATTTAATAAATAAATAATAAACAGCTGCCACTTGGGAATCCTTCTCTCTTATTATAATTAAAGTAAAATAATTAAAATAAAAAACTGACCGGTGTCCTTTAGCCTTGGCTGGGCAGGAATCGGAGGGCTGACTCTCCCTAAGGAGGTTTTCTTGGAGGAGAGATAAGCTGTACATGTAATAAAACAAGTGGTATTAAAGTGTTTAATAAAGTGCCTTGCTCTATGGTTTGCTTCATAAAGTTTGTCTCATAGAAGTTATGAATAGTGTTTAATGATGATGTGTAACTTTTCAAGGGCAAAGGTCTTTCCTTCATATTCTGTGTGAACCAGATGCGGAAGACTCAAGGATCGTAATGGTTAAAATAAACTATGGCTTAATGCCATAGAATTGAACTTGTAAAGTCTTAGACAATAGAAGTTTCTGTTGTCAGTTAAACAGCTAAAAAAAAAGATTTGCCTTTCCAGCTCAACTCAAATACAAGTTTGTTCCAGCGGAAATATGTGGGTGAAGTCAAGAAATGTGAAGAAATGGAAAGAATATTGGGTAAGTTTGGAGAATGCTGAACGATTGGCAACCTTGATCCTCTTAAGTAAAGTTTTACCCATCCTGAAATGTATCATCGCAGAGTTCTTTCAAACAGAAAAGGGAATGTAGCGCTTACCAATTTCAAACTGAGCTTGAAAGAATATTACAATCCACTTGATTTATTGCGTTGTTCTTGCATTGTATGTTCTCCCACATTTCAGAGGATTAAAAAACTGTGGTTTTAACCACAGTCGGGAGATTTGGTGATCATTTTGGCACCAGGCGCTGGTTGTTTCTTTGTTTTGGGGTTTGATTTAAAATTCAGAGAATTAGTATGCAAATTCTGGGGTTCTTCAATTCTCACGATACAATAGAGAAAATTGATCAGGCTTGATTAGAGCGCCCTCGCATGTGCATAATATCCTTCGTGATGCACAAACTTCCCAGAGGAATGTCCCAAAGCACAACCTTTTAAAGCCAGTTGCTTTACCTCGATGAAATTATTTTTCATTTTTCCAGGATACCTAGTACAGGAAATAAAGAAAGCAGACATCCCTCTTCCGGAAGGAAATATCACTCCTTCTGCTCCTCCACTTAAACAGATGTTGGAAATCCAGGTAACTTGTAGAAATGGGGATCGTGTGATATTCCAGGATGACAGAAAAATCTAGTTTTTCAATACTTTAGGCCGGTGTTTGACAACCTTGGTAGCTGACTAGGTAATTCTGGGGGTTGAAGTCCAGACCTCTTACAAGTTTTCAGGGTGAGAATCACAGCTTTTAGGCCAACCCTAAGACACTTACAGCTCCAAATTTCCCACTGTCTGCTGTTCAACTGTAGCGATTGTCTTGGTTTCTGCTTGGAAGAGCCACACTCCTGTTAGAAATCACCACACCAAAACTGTGCTGTTTTTCTGTGTTGTAGGAACAGCTACAGAAGCTGGAGGTGGAGTTGAGAGAGGTGACCAAAAACAAGGAGAAGTTGAGAAAAAACCTTTTGGAATTGACAGAATACACCCACCTGCTGAAGGTCACGCAGTCCTTCGCCCAAAGAGCTACTGGGGTATTTATTTTATTGACTTTAGATGTGTGTGAGGTCACCCATCTTAAACAAGTGACTCTGGAGAGCAGACAATCATAAATAAAAAACAAATATCTTGTTTCCAGTCTTTTTTTTTTTTTGGCTACTCCACTTTTTGTTTGATATAGATTTTTGCTGTCTTTATTTTAGCTCGAATCCTGCGTACAGAGCAGTTACGAAGAATTCCTGTCTTTCGATCATGACCCTTTGGTTGAGTACAATTGCATGCACAGACTTGAGGCCAAACTCGGGTAAGTAACCAAACTGGATAGTGAATAGCCACGCAAAGCATCTTTAGCCTTGTTTTATACAAGTAGTCTTAGCAAATACTGGGGAGAATTAATTTACTGCATATCAATTTGAATTGTTTTGAAGCATCCAGTGATGTAGTAACGAAGCATAATTGTGACTCTGCAAGTAATGCGAATCATGGTTCCTTGTACTGGTGAGATTATTTTTAGGGCACTTTTTTTCTTTTAATGTAGATTTATATCCGGCTTAGTTCACCGAGCCAAAATTGAAGCATTTGAAAAAATGCTGTGGCGGGTGTGCAGAGGAAATACAATTGTTTCTTACTCTGAAGTGGAAGAATGCTTGGAAGATCCTGATTCCGTAAGTAAAACAGCTGGAGAAATCAGAGTAAATTATTCTGAAGGCTGATGGATCAGTTTCTCCTGAATAATCAGCATATATAGTGTTGGCTGCATTTAACAGAGGGATAGAATCAAGATCCCAGATCCCTTCCAACTCTGTTATGAATTGGTGTAAAACAGTTGTGGCTAGTACCATTAAGATCCACTAATTATGAACTTTACTTATGAAAAATTAAACTTTTATGTTGGAATACCGAAAACATAGTTTCAAAACAGCATGGATTCAGGGCATCATAATTGGTAATGGATTTGTTTACGTTTTCACTTCAGTGCCATTGTTAATTCTGAACCGTCATTAAATGAATATCAGCAGTCGAGTTAGCACCTCTATGTTGGAAAGATTAAATCTGAATAGCTTTACCAGAGAAATGAACCGATACATGCCTGTTTGAGGCACTGAGGTCCATTCCTGCTTTATCTTGCGAAATTCAGTATAAACATTGCAAGAAACAACATCCCTGGGCTGAGAAAGGGCAGCTGAGCCCCGTAGTTTCCCTGTCAATCAAAGCCGAGGTGAGCCATCCTGTTTGTTTTCCAGGGAGAGCTGACCAAGTGGTTTGTGTTCTTGATATCCTATTGGGGTGAACAAATTGGCCAAAAGATTAAGAAAATATGTGACTGGTAAGGACAAACTCAAGTTTTTATGTCATGCTTTTTTCATTTGTTTCATATATTTGTAAGACGATGCTCCAAAAAGTAAAAATGGTTAGGGAAAACTGCATTTTCAAAACTCCTCGGAGTTTGAACGGTCACTAAACGAACCGTTGTAAGCCGAGTACTACATGTGTAGTAAAAATAGCTGTGGTTTAAGGATGTGAGGTCACATGTTTGTAAGAATAACTTGGCTGGCTGCTTCAGTGACTTCTTTGTGTCACAGCTACCACTGTCACATCTACCCGTATCCCAGCACTCCGGAGGAACGGCGGGCGGTGATGGAAGGCCTCCAGGTTCGCATCCAGGACCTTCACATTGTAAGTAGACAGTTACGTTCACACTCTGGCTGTGTGTTTCCAGTGGAAGAGGCCAGTTGTTTCACGGAATCAATGTGGACGTGCAGTGTGTTTGTTTGGAGCGCATTAAGAAATGAGAGCTTTCGTCCACACAGCCCGGGAGATCGTATTTGCCTTCTCCAAGTGGATTTGTTCTCTTTTAGGGCTTTGTTTATTGTCCTGGAGATATTTAGACATAGCATCGTATTCAGGACTCTTATTTTTTTTTTTTTTGCCTTTGTGGCCTTAAGAAGCTTGTTTCTTGCAACAGGGAAATGTTTTTCTTTGGGATTGTTTTATCTGCTGCCAGCTGGGCACCGTGAAGCTAAGCCAATTCCCCCAGAAATAGAACTAATAAAAGAGAAACGACTTTAAGGTTACTTTGTCCTGCCGATACCTCCTTTTGGATAACAAGTTGCCTTTGTACTAAACTTTTTTTTTTTTAACAAAACCCCCCAAAGGTGTTGCACAAAACCGAAGATTATTTACGACAAGTCTTGTGCAAAGCTTCTGAATCCATCTACACCTGGGATGTTCAGGTGAAAAAGATGAAAGCCATTTATCACGTGCTGAATCTCTGCAGCTTTGACGTCACCAACAAATGCCTCATTGCTGAGGTCTGGTGCTCCCTGGCGGATCTCCCCAACATGCGTCGCGCCCTGGATGAAGGATCTGTAAGTCAAGGCTGAACATTGCTTTGATCTATCTGTAATAAGGAGACTCAACAGTTCTGATCCCATCTTTCCGAGCATATTTGTACATGATTCATGCACAGATAAGAGCACGAATGGGACGGGGGCTGCTGGGCTTATAATAAGGAGGGTTTGTTTACTTCTGCAACCAGAGAGAGAGCGGTGCTTCCGTCCCTTCCTTCATGAACACCATTCCAACAACAGAAACGCCTCCGACTTTGATCCGGACCAACAAATTCACCGCGGGATTCCAGGACATTGTTGATGTGTACGGGATTGGCAGCTACAGGGAAGTCAATCCCGGTGAGTCTCTCTGAAAAATAGTGAAAACGGGGGATGTAAATTCTAAACCGGGCTCTTTCCCCTCGTTGATGCTGACCTGCTTTCACTTACCTGTGGCCTGGTGAACTCAGGTGGGTTTTGTGTTGGTGAAAGAGCCGCGGTGTTCTTGTAAAGCAGAGGGTACGTCCAACCTTGGCAATTTAAGACTTGTGGACTTGGAAGTCCCAGAATTCATAGCTGGCTGGGGAATTCTGGGAGTTGAAGTTCACAGGTCTTAAAGTGGCCACGGTTGGAGACCCTGCTGTAAAGAATCACCCGACAGTGAGATGGGCAGCATATAACTGGAATAAATAAATGTGACTTTCACAGCTCTGTTCACCATCGTCACCTTCCCCTTCTTGTTCGCCGTGATGTTCGGAGACTGCGGACACGGCTTCCTGATGTTCCTCTTTGCGCTCTTCATGGTTTTGTTTGAAAAACACCCCAAACTGATGAAATCCCAAGACGAGGTATGGGAAGCCCAGACTCCTGTGTGGCTGGTGCTCTTCACTGCTTGAAAAAAAAAATTCCTGTTTTTCCACTTTTGCATCTGTAAAGAAGGAATGTGGGGCCTTGGTGGTTTTGTTGCAGAGGTTTCACGACCCATAGATAATGCTGATTGTAAACAGTAGTCCCCAATCAAGGAACTACCAACTAAGAAATACAGCCAAACAGTAAACAGCCTCATCAAGGGACTGTCAAGAAGAAAACAGCTCCCCCACCAATACTGACAGGGCAAGCCACTTGTATATAAACAGAGAGCAAACCCTCCACTCCCTTCTAGCACTAATGATGTTACCTAGTTGGGTCATGAAATGTCTGCAAGAAAGCCACCCAGCTCAGAGAGCCCCAGGGACCCCACCGTTCAGCCCTGAGCTACAGAGATTCCCTTCTAAGGAAGAAGCGCCTCTGGTGAGGGTGAGGCTTCTCTCCTTCTGTCCACAGATCATGAAGATGGTTTTTCAAGGACGATACATCATCCTGCTGATGGGATTGTTCTCCATCTATACCGGCCTGATCTACAATGACTGTTTCTCTAAATCTTTGGTCATCTTCAGCTCGGGATGGCATGTTTCAGAAATGCCTGGGATGGACTGGAGGTAAGTTGTGGCTGTGCAGCCTGTGTCAGTTTCACTTCTGGGCAATCTTTGTCCTCTTCTTTAGAATAGGAATAGGATAGGAATAGAATAGAATAAGAAATAGAAATAGAAATAGAAATAGAATAGAATAGAATAGAATAGAACAGAATAAGAAATAGAATAGAATAGAAATAGAATAGAATAGAATAGAATAGAATAGAATAGAATAGAATAGAATAGAATAGAATAGAACGGAATAGAAGCCTGTTCTTCTCAACCTCTAATTCTGTTTTCTTTTCTTTTTGTTTTTAAATTGTTCTAGCAAGGCAGACTCGACAAATCCGTCTGTGATTCTGAATCCAAATGCGACTGGCGTCTTCACTGGTCCTTACCCTTTCGGCATAGATCCGGTGAGTGACTTCCCTTGAGCCGCTGCCGTCTGTCCAGGAGACTTGGCAGAATTACAACCCTCAGCCCACTGCTGCTCTTTTCAGCAGCGAGGCAAAACTGTCCGTCGGACTGCCCTGAATTTTCTCTGGGGCTGTTTCACGCAAAACAGTTTTCAACAAACAAGGAGTCCTTAGATTTAGCAACCATAACAAGAACAGGAAAATAGGCAAGTGTTGGCTGTTGTTAAGTGAATCTGGCTTTGGCCTTGCTTGTCAGAAGGTCACAAAAGGGGATGATGTGACCCCAGGATATGCAACTGTCATAAATGTGAGACAGCTGTCAAGCATCCAAATGTAAATCACGTGACCACGATCGTAAGTGTGAAAAACGGTCCTCAGTCACTTTATTCAGTGCCATTGTAACTGAATGGTCACTAAGCGAACCGTTGTAAGTTGAGGACTGCCTGTATTCTGGGTTGAATCTTGTCTTAAAGGCTGTCTTTCTCTTCCCTTCCAGATGTGGAGCCTGGCAAGCAATCGCCTCCCCTTCCTCAATTCCTTCAAAATGAAAATGTCGATCATTATTGGGATGGTGCACATGGTCTTCGGGATTGCCCTGGGGGGCTTTAACTATGTGTGAGTAGGGACAGGATGAGCAATGGGGGGGGGCTTTGCCGTGCCTTTGACACGAGAGGCGCGCCAAATAAGCATCATCGTAAATATGTTTCATAAAGTAGAGTAGCGTGATGGCCTGTTGCGAACTCCAAATAGGCGTCAGGAAGGGTGTCCAGCCAGTAAATGCTCAGCTCCATCCTATTAAGAGATTATAGGGTTGTAAAAAGGGAGGGTTATTTTTTAATTGAAATGAAAAATAAAGCCACCCTTTCTTCTCCTTCCAGGCATTTCAGGAAGACGTACAATATTTACTTGGTGATCATTCCTCAACTTCTGTTCATTCTGTCCATTTTTGGATACCTGGTGTTCATGATCGTCTTTAAATGGCTGGCTTACGGCGCTGAAAATTCCAGTTCTGCTCCCAGTATCCTGCTTCAGTTTATCGGCATGTTTCTGTTCCACGATAACAAGAAGCAAATCTTTTTCTCCGGGCAGGTGGGTTATCTTTAGACCTGAAAGGTCCAGAAATGAAATCTGAATTCTCTCTATTTTTAAATGCTATCTTCTGTTGAAATAAGTAGGCCTTAAATTGGAGTAAATTAAAACAGTTTGCAAGATGAGTCCAGTAACTATTAATTGTTGGAGACTTGAGTCTGAGTTTTGTACATCCTTAAGAAATGATTGAAGCGTTGTATTAGAAGCCACCTAAATCTAGGGAATTGCTAAAAGGTTAGGTACAATGGGGTCCTTGGTTTAAAAATGTAGATTTTCAGGCTCCTTAAGGTTGGCCGTAGCTTTTTAAAAAAACTAATGCTGTTCAGCAGAAGAATGATGACATAGGAGGGCTTAGTGGATTGCTTTAAATGAGTTATAGCATTTTTTTAAGACAAGCAGAAAGGATCCCTTCTTTTGCAAACTATTGAAAACATTGTAGCCTTGTCAAAACAAACAAAACATATAAAATAAGGGGGTTTTTTGTTTTTGTTTTTTTAAAAAAACTAGCCAGATTGGCATTTAGCCCAATAACGTAAAATCCTTATTTAGCAGAGAACTCTTACAAGGCTTTTGCTAACCAAAATTTTTAACCACCTCGAAATTACGGCTGTGTAATTTTGCCTCTTTTAAAACAGATGATCCTTCAGAAATTTCTGATAGCCGTGGCTGTACTTTCTGTTCTCGTTCTGTTTTTGGGAAAGCCGCTTTATTTGTACTGGTTGAACAATGGCAGCCAAAGCTTTGGGTCCTACAGAGTGAGTATCGGGAAGAACTCTGGGGTAAATTGTATATTTTTCCTTGACAAAAAAATTCTGCATCCTGCCGCATGCCAGGGCTCTCTCAATCAGCGTAGAGAGCATCCAGTCTAATCGATAAAGGGGAAAAAGAATGCTGTGTTTGAAGGGAAAGATTGTTCACAAGGCTTTGCCTAGGCTTAACTGCCATTCCCTGAAGCACTTTGTGTGTTTTGTGGTGCCTTAACCTTGTATCTCGATGGGCCCTTAAGATGTTGACTGCTCAGCCTTGTTTCAGGACAGGGTTGGGAGGTGTTTAGTAGTTGCTTGCTGAAAGATTATTTGAGAAACTAGTCCATGAATCCCCTTCAGAGACATCCCTAAAACTGCACAACTCTTTTCCTTCTTCAGAAAGGTTATCGCTTGGTACGGAAGGAAAGTGAAGAAGAGATTGCTCTCTTGGCAACTTGTGAGATGGAAGAGGGAACCAGCCCTTTGAACAACAGGCATAAGACCGAAGAGAAGGAAGAGGTTGGCCTGGGACTCTTTTCAGCTCAGGATCCTGTTCTTTTTTTTTTTTTTTAATCCTTTCATTGAAAGGTTGTTTTCGATTTGTTTTATGACGTACGCCAGCTCAGGGCTGTTGTGTACGCCGACGCCAGGGGTAGGCAGCCTTGACTCTTTTATGACTGGTGGACTTCAACTCCCAGAATTCCTGAGCCAGCATGGCTCAGCTTGGAAACCTCTCCCTTTCCCAACATGGCTGGCTCGGGAATTCTGGGAGTTGAAGTCCACCAGTCATAAAAGAGCCAAGGTTGCCTTGGACAACTTGTGAATAAACTAGAATGAAGCAGAAATGTCATATATTCAGCTTCTGCAGCTCCTTGCTTACTAAGTGATTAATCTCCCCTTAAATCACAAGCAGGATGTTGGGATCATGGGTTATAATCCGCACCCTGGCTGCAATCCCACTTACACACTATCTCTTTTAGTTTAGCCTTTCCGCGGTGTTCATGGATCAGGCCATCCACACCATTGAATATTGTCTGGGATGCATCTCCAACACCGCTTCCTACCTGAGGCTCTGGGCACTCAGTTTAGCCCACGCCCGTAAGTATCTGTGAAAAATGGTCCTGAGACCATCCTTTCAGTGCCATTGTAACTTTGGTCACTAAATGAACTGCTGTGCTGGGGGCTGCCTGTATTGTGTCTCACACATCCAGTAAAGCAGGTGGGGTTTGGAGTTTACCTGCGCATGTCTCTGCCTGTCTCTTTTAGAGTTATCCGAAGTGCTTTGGGCAATGGTCATGAAACTGGGTCTTCACATGGATGCAGCCTACGGGATCTTACTCTTGGTCCCCCTTTCGGCCTTATTCATGATCCTCACAGTATTCATTCTCCTGATCATGGAGGGCCTCTCCGCTTTCCTGCATGCCGTACGGCTCCATTGGTACGTGGTTCCTTTTCACCTTCTTGGACAACTTTCTAGTCCGGCATTTTTGAAACTTTTATGTGGAATTGAATCGGACGCTTTATTCAGCCTAGTATGATTAGACACGCAAGGAATTTGTCTCCGCTATGGAGTTCTCTGTACATGCAAAGCAACAGAGATGATGATGATGATGATAACGAGAAGGAGAGGAGAAAAGATAAAGATAAACAATAAACTCACTACATGAGTTAACATACATAGGCATTAAACAGCACTGGGAGAATTGGGTGTTGATGTTTGGGAAATGGAAGCTTTATTGGGGGGGAATAGAAACTCTTTTCAGGAGACTGAAAATGTTCGGTTTGAAAGTAACCTTTGATGCTCAAATAGTTCAGGAGTCAGGGTTTAGCATGTTCGTTTCATTCCATTTTATTTTATTTTTCTTATTACAGGGTGGAATTTCAGAACAAATTTTACACAGGCGATGGATACAAGTTCACCCCTTTTTCCTTTCAAGACATTTCTTTACATTTTGATAGATACATCTCATAGTCTGGCTGTTTTTGGCTGTAAATAATCATGTACGCTGACATCATCCTTGTTCGGCTCTCTGTAGCAAAGACCCTCACTGATTTTTGCCTTAAAATGCAGCCAAATAATTTTATAACGACCCTTAATCGCCTCTCACTCGGACTTTGAAAACATGGGACCCTTTGCAAGCAGGCCTTGTCTTCCTTCCGTAAGCACCTTTAGGTTAATTTTGAAACTGACCTCACATATTCAGTTGCTGCTTTTGAACATGCTGTAGCCATTTACGAGAACTATTTATTTTCTCTAAACAAAACCTTTCAACGGTAGTTTTTTTGCATACTTCTTTTGGAGAAAGCCCCTTTGAAAGGTTTTGGTTTTTTTTAAGGGAGCATTAATCAGCCATCAAGGCATTTGCAATCACTCCTCTGATTAATTCCTCTGATCCTTGTCGCAAATATTTCTGGAACTTGATAACAGCCACTGGGAATAAAACTGTCTTCTTCTGTATTTTTAGGAAACCACTATGATTTTTCTCTTGCTTGATCCAAAACACAGGCTTTAAAAGCAGGTTTAGGATTTCCTCTTTGCGCAAAGGGTGTGACTTTTTCCAAAGAAATTGAAAAGCTATTTGAGACTCACAGAGGGACATAGAAGCATTGGTTCTGCTTTTTTCTCTTCTACTCTCTTTTTTACAAGATGCATTATAGGCAATGTGGGAGCTTCCTCTCCGAAGCCTGGAATCACTGTCTGAAATTATTCTGAACACTCTGATATGTCTAATAGAGTTTCTGCTGTGGGTGAAACTCTGGGATTATAAAAAAAAAACCTTCCCAGGAAAATTAAGATGTTTTTCTGCCTGGCAGTTTTTGACAGCCTACAGCATGGGCGTCCAGCTTTGGCAACTTAAGACTTGTGCAATTCCAAGAATTCCCCAGCCAGCCATGCTTCTGGGAATTGAAGTCCACCCTTGCTGGCTGAAGGACTCTGGGAATTGAAGTCCACAAGTCTTAAAAGTTGCTGAGGTTAGACTCCCCTGGTCTACCACCTTTGCCTCTCCATGGCCTGCGTTAATCCAGGCAGTCCTAGTTGTGATACCGCACACTCCTTTTCCACAAAAATCAGATTCCTGTTTAGTCTTGACTAGAAGCCAATTTTCTGTTGTTCTTACTCTTGTTCTTCCCTATGAGGAAGATACCTTTTAAAGGATTGGTTTGCTGTTGTTGTGTTTTTAAATGTATTAAAGGGGAGGTATTTTACTGTAAAGACTTTCAGAAGTGCCAGTGGAATCTCATCTGTTTCTCACCTTCAAATAAAAGCTGTTTGGCGCTTTTGGAGAATGAATGCGTTTTCCGGTTGAATTGGTGTTTGCAAGGGGGGCGTTTGCTTAGGGGAGCGAGATCTACCTTGGCAGAGGGGAGCCCTGATGCTGTGCGTCCAGGGGATGATGGGGATCGGAGTTTGGGGTAAACTACTGTCTGCCTGCCTGCCTGTCCTCGTTGGTTGATAGTGATTTCAGGATGAGACCTGCGCCTGCCTCGGGCATGTGCAGAGTGCCTTTTGTTTTGCTCTATAGGAGTTTTCACATAGCGCTTCAAGGGCCTGAATTTCGTTTTTTTTAAGCGGCCGAGGGAAAGAGGTCCGAGAAGCGATGCATGACGGGAACTGTAGTTCGCGCTCGTGAGGGAGCGGGCGGAGCATGCGCGGGAGAGGGGGCGCGGCCACGCGCGCCGTTGCCCCGGCGACCGGGCGGCGTCGGTTGGCCGGGCGGGCAGGCAGGCGAGCGGGGCTGCCGGCGGCGATGGACGACGTGCGGGTGCAATGGCTGGGCGAGCGGCTGCAGCGCGGGCTGGGCCAAGACAACCCGGCCGCCTTCGAGGAGCTGCTGAACCGCAACGACGGCGAGGAGACGGAGCGGCTGCTGCACTTCCTCAACATGAGCGCCAGCGCCGAGGACAGCCAGCCCGCCGGCCTCTTCTTCCGCCAGGAGTTGCGCCTGGACGAGATCGACGTAGAAATCGGTGCGCCCCGCCCGCGTGCGACGGGCTCCTGAGCACGTGCAGAGCGCCTCCCCGCCCTCGCTTCCTCTGCTGCGGCAATAGCCGTATTGCAGGGGAAAGGCAGCAGTAGTTACAAGGGGGTGGGGTCCTCACACTACCCCCTCCCCCCCCGAGGTTCCCTGGCCAAGCAGGCTGGCCTTCCTCATCCTCCTGGGAAGAAGACTGGGCAGCCCCCCCCTCTTCCTGCTTTTACAGGAGGGGGCTGCAACTCCTTTGCCCCATTCTCTTCAGCCACACTGTTGGCTCTGCAGGGGCCATTTTGAGAGTGAGTTATTTTTATTTATTTAATTTAAATGACCACCCAGCTCAGTCAGTGACTCCAGGCAGCCCACAAGGATAAAGCTTTTGACCCCGCTGGTCTGCTTGTCTGGCCTTTCTGGGCCTCCAGCTCTTGGGTCCCTTCAGGACCTTTATGCCTCTTCTCACACACACCCCCATCCATGCTTCTGCTCTGGCCTCTTCAGCCTCCAGCCCAGACGCCTCTGGAGGGGCTTCAGCTCTATGGGACCTTCTGGCCTCTCCAGGACCAGCCTGGAGCGGCTTTGGCTGCCCCAGGTGCTCAGTGACTCAGCAGGGAGTGACTTCTGCCCCTTCGCCCACCCTCTGGGCTGCTGCTCTGGCCTCTTCCAGCTCTTCAGGTTTGCTTGTTTGGCCCTTCTGGCCTCTGTGGACCTCCAGCTCTTTGGCCACTCAGAGCCCCCCTGCCCTTCAGTCTGTCAATCAGCTCAGTGGGTAGGGACTTCCACCCCTTCAGCTCCCTCAGGGCTGCTGCTCTGGCCTCTTTGAACTTCTAGCTCTTTGGCCACTCAGGGTCTTCCAGCCTCTTCAGGACTTCAGCCTGGAGGGGCTTCAGCTGGCCCAGAGGCTCAGCAGAGAGTGATTTCCCTTCACCACTCAGGGCAGCTGCCTTGGCCTCTTCCAGACAGGCCAGCTTCTTCAGGGCTTCAGCCAGCTCTGAGGCAGCAAGTGGCGCCAGCTCTTTTGCCCCTTGGGGATGCTTTCCCTCCATCCTCTTCTCTTCAGCTCTCTGACAGATGCCCTTGTGCTGCCCTTTTTATAGCTGTTTTTTTCCCTCCAAAACAATTGATTGGTTGCCCAGCTCTGGGGCTCTGCTATTTCATTGGCTACTCACCCACCCACATGGACCCCATTTCCTCAGATGGACTCCCATTGGTTAGAAAAAAGATTTCTCTCTCTCTCTCTCTTTCCCCCCCAAAATATATGTATGTCTGTTTATCTATCATTTTGTGAGAAATTATATATTATTTATAGCTGGTGTGCGTTCTCCTCTTTTTCCCCATTATGGTTACCCTCAGGACCAAACATTTTTTCCTCATTGTCAGCTGATGTTGGTCCATTCGTCCAGGAAAATCACAATTTCTTTGGTAAATTCTAGAAAAGAAAATTCAACAGTGCCCAGTAGGAGACCGAGGATGATAAATAATAGTATAATTTATTGAATGGGACAATAAAATATACTTGGGGCCATCAAAATGGTATCTCCCTGCCCCACACACAGACTCAGTCTTCCCTTTTTTCCTTCATGTTTCCTTTGTGACCAAAGCTGATCACATGAGGACTAGCCATTTGGTCTGGAGAGCCATTTTGAAAAGTCTGTCTGGAATTTATTTCCCTTTGAAAATAAAACTCTGCACGTGGTCCAGTCTAATAAATCCAGATAAGGTTTGGATGCTCTCTTAGGGCCACTCTGCCTTCCTTCCTCCACCGCTGCACCCCAGTTCAGTTCTATTTCTGGTTGAAAAGTCTTCATATTTTGTTCTGTTTTTTTTTTCTGGAAACAGATGTGCCGTATGAAGAAGGGACGGAGGAGGATGAAACGAATTCGCAGAGAATAGGGGGCTCTTCCTCCAGCTCCATTGGCGAAGCAAGTGAGTAATGGCTGCCAGCCACAGGGAAGACAAAAATTTTTCAGGGTCTTTTCCTGTTTCTTTCCCCTCCCCCCCTTTCCATTTCCCTATTATCTTTATTTTCATTTATATTTTATCATGCAAAATTTAATATCTTTGTAAACATGAAAACAAAATGCAGACAGGGAGATCCTCAGGTGGGATCCCTTTCGACTGCTTGGATCCCTCTAAATTCATTGCAACGTTGAAGTCAGAGGGAGAGGGGTTGATTTCTTTCTTTTTGGGTGTCTCTCGTTTAGAGAAAAGCTGGAGGAGCTTAAACGAGGCAGGAGAAAAACTCATGAGTGGGACCCTCTCCACAGCCTCGGTCAGGTCAGGCATGGCGGAAATAGAACGCGAACTGGGCATCTCGCAGCGAAAGGCTCAGACGTACAAAGTAAGTTGCCTTCGCTCTGTTTTGGTGTCCGTCTCATTGTTTCTTTGTAGGATTCACTCTGCAGTTGATCGGCACCGATTCGAGAACTCTTCTTCCTACCTAAACCACAGCTTTTCTCTTTTTTAATCAGAATTGTTATTTTTCAAAATGCTGGCTTTTTTTGGGCCCTGTCTGATCTCTTGCGGACCAAATTCTGAATGAAAATGGGCAGATGGGCAGAAAGCAGCACAAAAGCGACGCAAAGGTTGTTCACAAATTTTGTGCCGAGAGCAGTTCCTTCAGCTGCCCACACAACTGTTGCTTGCATTTTGAGTTGTGCATCAGTTGAGCACATCCAAATTTGGAAGGCCAACTATGTGTTTTATTTTCTTTCTAAGCGCACCCATTTGGTCCCCCCCCTCTCCATTTCAGAAAATTGTGAAGCAAGAAGTTTATAATCTCTATTACCACATGGCGGTGAATGATGTCCCGGAAGACTTTGTGGAGAGTGACACGGTCTTTTTTCTGAGAGAAACTGCAGGTATTTTAAGAAAGGGAAAAAACTTGGAGCAAAACAGAACGTCAGGATATTTCATATTCCAGAAGCCCCTTTGTTTTTCGTTTAGTCTTATTTCATTTCCCTATCCAGGACCTCTGGTTGACAAATGAAATATTTGTCCCTTAGTTCTGTTTCCCTCCTTAATAAAGTCCCTTTATTAATAAAGTCTCTTTCACCAGAAACGGTGTCGGAACCCAACGACTTGGCCGAAGCCAACGATGTCTTGCCTGAAGTCTTGGAATACGGCATCCTGAACCGCAATACCCTGGTGATGCTCAAACAGATCTTGGCCCTGGTGAGAGGCTTTAGTTGGTTGGCTTTTGTCTTCAGGCCTTCATTGTGGCTTCGTGGGGGTCTAAATAGCGAAATTGAGGATATGGGCAGCCTTGTCTCCATAACTCAGGATTCCTACCCAAGTGTCGTGCCAGGGAAATCAGAAAATCCAGGCAGTTTAAATGTATAAAGATTTATTGCAAGCTTAAGCTCTCTACAAGAATCTGAACGACTAACCATCAAAGCAAATTGGAAGTAGATAAGAGTAGAAGGGATTCAAGGTGGACTTAGATCTCTTGTGGGTGCGAAGGGATTGGAGACTGATGTCTCATTTGACCGCCTCCGTCAGGCTTAGCCTGGTCAGCTCCTATACCATGTTTCTCCAAAAAGGTCACTTTAGTAGGTTCATATAAAGAAACATCCAGAAACATTCTCATATACTTCCCTTTATTGGCAACTAGCAAAGTCTGACAGAAGACCTGAAGAACCTCTCCAGAACTTCTCCAGATGTTGCTGGACTACAACTCCCAGCATCCCTTGCTGCTGGGTTCCACTGCTGCTGGACTTTGCAACAGTTGGAGGATTGTGCGGATGCCATACCTGAATGTAGAGAGGGGAAATGGTGAAGAGTTGGTCATCCTCAGGTGAAAAGAATTGAAAATCCTAAAAATGCTGTTATTGCAGGTGTATCTGCCCGCCATGTCCCACAACCAGTATGGCCTGGAGGAGATCAGCACACATGCAGAATCTGAGAAAGCTGAGGGGGAAGATTCACAGCTTGCCCAGAAGGCAGCGAAGAAGCCGCTGGTGTTCGATAGTTACCAGAATCTAAGGAATGAGTTCTTGATGAACATGCAAAAATTCCTGAGCCACGTTCAGAGGACCATCCAGCAGATTGAAGGTGAATTGTGGCTCGGGGACAACCTACAACTGCCCTCTTCAAAACGAGAAACGGCCCTACAACTCAATGGGCGCTGTGAGCCCAACCCAGTTGGACAACATCAGCCTGAGTGAGGTGTTCCCTATGCACCAGAGACCTCTCAGAATGCTCAGCGGCTTCTTTTTTCTTTAACCTCACAGGGGAAATTAAGTTAGACATGCCGACGTTAAACATAGAAGGGGACGCAAGTGAACTGGCGAGTGACCAGGAAGTGGTTGAGACTTTGGAA